AGACCAGCAGAATATTCAAAACCCCGGCCCCCTGGCCGGGTAATTACAAAGCAAACGGCACGCAGGCCGTGAAAAGAAAAAAAAATATACTTAAAGCTTAAGAAGGGGGCAGTTCAGTATCAGCAGCAGCCGCCTGGTCAGCACTCTTCTTGCTGGACTCGGCCTTAGCTGCATCATTTTTTGATGCCTTACCCCCAAGTGGCACAAGCGCCACAACCGGCTCTTCCTCCTCCAACGCAACGTCCATCGCCTCTTCTTCAGCAGCCGCCAGGATCTGTTGATTATATATTTCCGAACACTGGCGGTACGTTCTTTCCCATGAGGCAAAGTCGGCACTGGGGAACAGTCGTTCCCAGGTCATGCGTTGGATTTGGGCGGAGTCTTCCACCATCTCCCGGACGAGCTCTTGTTTCTCTTGCTCGGCCTTGTCCGAGAGCTCTTGGGTAAGACTCTTCTCCTGGTTCACCAGGCGTTCTTTTACGTTAGCCAAAGATTTCTCCATGGCTTCGTAAGAGTGCATTTTTTGGCGAAGGGGTTTCAGCTCGGTTTTAAGTTTGGTGACGGTCCCCTCCAGCTCGTCAACCTTCTTTTGGGCCGTCTCTAGCTGAGCCCGAACAGCGGCGGTCGCCTGCGCCTGATAATAAAGAAGATCAAGGGTCAGTACTTCATTTTGGGCAATTTGAAACATTGCCTTATCACAGCTGGAGGCGGCCATAGCCTTTGCGGCCTTTACCTCTTTGTTTTTCCGATCAATCGGCTTGCGAAGGCTGTTGACTCGGAGCAGGGCCTAAGTACAAAGAAAAACAGGCGTCAGTTTCCAAACAAAAGAGTTAACAGGCGTCCTGGAACTCAAAAGCTCAAAAAGGTGCTAAGTATACCTCAGCTAGGATCCCCGAAATTCCATCGAGGTCAAGGGTGCCGGCACCCTTGACCGCCTCCCTGTCAGATGGAGGAACTATTTTAACCATTGACTTGGCTACCTCAACCAAGTCAAGTCCCTGGGGGCCGGCTGCATTAAGCGAAAGGAAAAAAACAAGTTAGACCTAATCAAGAAGGAAGCAAGGGTGAGTTTTTACAAGCAAGTGTCCATACATCTAGGCGGCCCCGCCTGGGTTTTTGAAGAAGTGGCCGGCTGCTTCTCAGCCGCCACTGTTTTCCTGGAAGACCCAGGAGAGCTTGCAACAGTCGTCCTCCGGGCCTTGGGGTCCGGCTGTTGCGAGGAAGAAGCCCTTGGAGTGCCAGACTGAAAACAAAAAGAGTTAGTATATGCATAATACAACTAAAAGGAGGAGTTTTCAAAGCTTACCAAGGGTGCCTCCTTGCTGGGGGAGTCGACATACGACTGCTTCATTAGTGAGACCCGCAGCATGGCCGCCGCAGTCTTAGATGCTGTTATTTTACTCATGGCGTCGGCTGAAAGAAATAAACAGCAAAGTTAGTAAAAATTCCAAGTAAACAAGGCGTGAAAAAACAGAGTATTCGTCAGGCCGGCTACCTCTAGAGCACCGACTGCCGAGGCCACAGGCGGCCAAGAAGTACTCGTCATAGAGCCACTTGAAGCTCGGGACGCAATTTAGGGGTACTTGCTCTCGTACCCCTGAAGTAGAGTTCACCCTAGTCTCTACTTTGAAGAGTCCTTTGTCTAGGATCTCTTTTTTAGCCTTTGGGGGAACAGGCGGCATGCTGCGGCCGCCTGCGAGAAGAGGTGGATCCCTGTTCCACTTATTAAAACGTTTGTTCAGCTCCGTGTCTGAACTCTCGATAATAAGGAAGGTGTTCCGCCAATCCTTCCATTTGTTTGCCTTACCTCTCGTCATGAGGTAACCCCTATGGCTTGTCAATTGATACCAGCCGGTACCTCCCGACTTGGGGGTCCGGCTGAGATAGTTCATGTGGGCGAAAGCCTCAAAACTTGGCTCCACCCCGTTCAGTTCGCACCCGGCCACATAGCCGAGTACGTTTACCCAAGAGTTGGGGGCTAACTGCCATAACCCCAGATCATACCCATCTAAAATCCGCTGAACAGCCGGATGTAATGGGAAGCGCAGTCCAGCTTTGATGGCCGCCACATAGCAGCCAAAGCAGCCGTCACCATAGCTGGTACCAGCCGGCCAGACGACAGTATCTTCTGGATCCGGCACAAACAGTAAATACTCCGGGCCCATTTTGTGGTTAGCAATAAAGCTCGCCACGTTGTCTCGCATGGTTGCAATCCGGCCCCGGGGCACCCTGCAGTAGTAGGGGGCGTTTTCCTCTCTGTAAGAGGCGGACGGCTCTGCCCAATTATCCCCCTTCTCCACTGCATGAGAACTTCTCGCCTCTTGTAGGCGGCTATGTTTTTCTTCTGAGCCAGAAGAACTATGGTCAGAAGAGCTGGATTCGGACTCGTCCCCTGACGAGTCCGAAGAGGACGACTCCTCCCCTCTCCTAGAGGGGCCCGCCTCCTCTCCCTTAGAAGGAGCAGAAGGAAAATTAGACATGTCCACGGTTAGATGAGAAGGGAACACCTTGGTCCCTCTCTCAGCACTGTCAGCTTGACAGTCGCCTCGTTCTACATCTGGCGCCTGGTCAGATGTTTCGCTAAGGAGCACCCTTTGGGAGGAGCCGTCTGAGTTTGATATCATAGCAGTCTTTTTTGTTCTGGCCATCACGTTCTGCATAGACACAGATTCAGTCGGACTTTGTATAAAGGGAAAAGATGGGTCCAGAAAAGGGCAGGCGGCACTCCTAGTCCTAGATTCAGCCGTCCCCGGTGACCGGCTGATCACTAACTTAGGGCGTGTCGTGTGCTTCCATGGTGCCATTTCAAAAAATAAAAAGAAAATTAAGAGTAAGAGAACTGAGTTACCTGAACGGGTGACGGTTGATGAAGTCCTGGAAGTTCGGGTCAGTCGGCTTGTCAGAACAGGCGGTAGGCAGAAAAAGTCCGAAAATGTCAGAGCAAGTTCAGGGGTCCGAATGTTCTCGCAAAAGTTCTCAAATGTGAAAATGACCGAAGTCAGCACTTCCTTTTATAGGCAAAATGAGAAGGCGAAGGGTCGCTTCCAAATTCAAATTTGGGCGGGAAAATCTCTCGGCCGTCTGCAAGGTGACACCTGTAACGGGCCGTCGCCTGTCACCGTGCGACACCTGTCACAGGCGACACGTGACCAGTCGCGTGCCACCTGTGAGGGGCAAATGATTAGGGGATTTTTATCCACCAATCACCGTCTGACAAGTGGACCAACCAGGTTCCGCCACGTGTCCTTCACGAAGGCCAACAGGAGCTTGCCACGTGTCAGTCACAGATACGTCCTCCACGGACCACTTAAGACACGCCACGTGTCCACCCATGCCAAGTGGGACAACCGGCCATCAAGGCCCATTTCAGTCTAGAGGCCCGATCAGCCCTAGGTTTACCTTAAACCTAGAGAGTTGCACGCTTCCCAAGGCTATAAATACTCGATTAATCCTCATTAATCAGGGAACAAAAAAAACAACCGAATAATTAAGAGATCAAGCAGAGAAGAACAGACTTATTAACAACCGGCTAATCACGCTAACAACGCAGATTACCAACACTAAGCACTCTCACCTAGAGAGATCTCATTACTTTACTTTCTGTATTGATTACTCCTTAATCAGGTACTAACTTGACCGTTGGAGGCGGAGCTCTCAGGAGTCTCCGTTATTTTGCAGGTACAGACGTCCGGTTCCAGTCTCGGAATTGTAACTCTCCCGCAGGACATCAGAAAACCCCGAAACAAAAATCTTTAACACGTTATCAGCACGAATTCCTAGTCAGGTATAACCTACTTCTCAAAATTTATAACAAATAATACTATCTACTTCTAAATATTTTGAGGAGTATGCTCTATACTTGCCCATATTTGGGATCCTCTATACCAGAAACTCAAATATTTACTGTAACATATATCTCAAAAACAACGGTGGAAAAATTCCTTTACTTATGAAATCGTTACTATCCTCCCTTCTTATTTTTATTCAACTCATGTTGGTACTTTGGTTTTTTGTTTGATTAATGCGTGTTGATATTACATACTCACCTTTTACGTAAAATTTGCTTTTAGTTATTATAATTGCTTAGTAGTAACTTCGCATGTATATTAGTAACTTAATTGACAAAAAAGATGCAACCTTTTTATACTTATTATTTTTCCTTTCTTTTACGTACTTTTTGTGTTTCTTTCCGTTTTCGAAACCATGATCTTTTATAGCTATTAGGGCTCTCGGACCACTATGACTTGCATTCCTAGTGAGATAACCTTTTACAATTATAAATATTTATATTTGGACCATAATTTTGCCAGTACATTAGAATATTATATGATATTTTTACAGTTGTACAAAAGAATAATGGATAAACTTACCTCTATAAAAGGTAGATTTTTCCCCGATTTCACCAATATCCCTTACCCTTCCCACTTTTTTTTATCCAAAAATCACCCAATTTTTTTTTCATCCCCTTCTTCTTCGATACATTTCCCGCCGAAGGCAACCAAAACACCCACATCTTCACTTTTGAGGAAGATCTAAGGAAAATAAAACAACTTTTTCTTCTAATTATGGTGCTTGTAGTTCTGTTTGTAGCAATATTAATTTTTGTCATTATGTACAAATGAAGCTCATTTATTTTGTCGTTTCGTAGATTAAAAGCTTGTTTTTGTTTTATTATGTTGTTTTGTTGTTATTAATCATCATTGTATAATATTACCGTTATTATTATAATTATTGTTACTACTATTATTGTTGTCGTTTTTGCTGTTTTTTGCGACTAACATGATTTATTTTTACCTAATCATATAATTACTCACAATAATAAACCAAGGGGGAGAAAAGAACTATATTATTTATGGTTTATTATTGTTAAATAAATTTAATTATTACGTGTTTCATTAACAAACTATAAATATGGAAGAATTAAACATATGTGTTGTACATATGATTTATTATTATAAACTAATTATCACGTAATTTGTTGTAGTTAAAATGGAGATCTTATGAAAAGACAATTCAGCATCCCAGATTTATCTGAAAAGAAATTTTTGGAATGGAAAGTGGATGCCATGATGAATTTGAAAGCTCAAGGGTTGGAGCACACTGTTAAAGATAATAAAAGTCCCTCTGGTCAAGCAACTGATGCTACCACTTCTGCAACGACGGTTGTAAAACCTGTAACTGAACAAGAAAAGGCAAAAGCGTTAGTGTTACTAAGGCATCATTTACATGAAAGCCTTAAAACTGAGTACATGATGGTTGAAGATCCCAAAAAATTATGGGATTGCCTTAATGAAAGATTTGGACACCATAGAAGGGTGCTCCTTCTTAAGACATTATTTACGGTTCCAGGATTTCAAATCTGTAATTGATTACAATTCAGCTATACATGAGATAGTATCTATACTGAGATACTGTGATCATCCGGTCACCGATGAACAGATGATTGAAAAAACATTCACTACCTTTCATGCAAGCAACATACTGTTGCAAGAACAATATCATGAAAGAGATTTCAAAAAGTTTAATGAATTGATGAGTGTATTGGTTGTTGTTGAACAAAATAATAATCTTTTGTTGAAAAATCATAATCTTAGACCAACTGGGTCTTTGGACACTCATGAGACAAATGCCACAAATTCTTATCCACCCGAGGCAAATGCTACACAAAGAGGTGGACGTGGTAGAAATAATTTTCAAAGAAACAGTAATTTCATAAATTCTGAGAAACAGAAGGGACAATCATTTGGAAGCCACAAACAAACTCCTTTAAAAGGAAAAGACACATGTTACAGATGTGGCATGACATGGCATTGGGGACGTACTTATCGTACGGCTAAACATTTGGTAGATCTTTACTAGGCTTTTGTAAAAGGCAAAGGGAAAAATGCAGAAGCAAATTATGTTAGCGAAGAAAATGCTCCTTGTCCCAGCCTTGATGTGTCTGTTTATTTCATGGATAATGCTGAAATTGATAATGATTTCATCTTTGGAGAAAATAACAACGCTTAGATTTCCTATCTACTAATGTAAAATATATTATGTTTTAATGTATTTTCTTTTACGTACTGTATTTTAAATTTCTAGTCATGTACTTTTAATTTCTATCATCAATAAAAGTTTGTATGATATTATTCTAAACTAATCTCATATTTATTTTATGAAGATATGGATCTGCCTAAAGTTGGTTCCGAATATCAATGCCTTTTGGAAACTGGAACAACACATACTATTTTGAAGGATAGAAAATATTTTTCACAACTAACGTTGTTTCAAGCAAATGTAAACACTATTTCCGGGTCAGCTAAATTAATTGAAGGATCTGGAAAAGCTTTTATAGTGCTTCCAAATGGAACAAAATGGATAATCAATAATGCTTTATATTCGAGTAAATCTCGAAGAAATCTCATAAGCTTTAAAGATGTACGCCAAAATGGCTATCATTTAGAAACAATAACAGGTCAAAAGGAGTATTTATGCCTCATGGCAGGAAAATATGGCAAGAAACACATTTATGAGAAATTGCCAGCATATTCTTCGGGGTTATATCGTATAAACATACGACCCGTGGAAATCAATATGATATCTAAACAGAATTTAGATGACAAACATTTGATTATTTTATGGCATGATCGTTTGGGACATCCAGCAACTGGGATGATGCAAAGAATAATAGCAAATTCAGTTGCACATTCAATAAGAAATGTCAAAATTCCTCGATCAAATGAATTAACATGCTCTGCATGTTCACTTGGCAAATTAATTATAAGACCATCTATGAACAAAATTGCTATTGAATCTTCAAAATTCTTGGAAAGAATTCAAGGAAATATTTGTAGGTCAATTAATCCGGCATGTGGACCATTTCGATATTTCATGGTTTTAATTGATGCTTCTACACGATGGTCACTGATAGGCATGTCGCGTACCTAACAAAAATAACTTAACAAGACCATTACTATGTAGATAGGCCATAGGCAAGTATAGATCGAATCCCAAAAGACTATGGTTTGACTAATTGGACAGACTCAAATAAATACTAAGTAACCAAAGTAATAGTGAGAATTAATAACTAAAAATAATTAAAACAATTAAATCTAAGTAATATGACAAATCAAATTCTAAAAACATCCAAGATCAAGCATCACCACAAATGCAATTAACGCAATAGTCGTTCTACCCCGAACATATAATTCAATTGATTAATGAGGAAAAGTAATGCCTAAATAGTATCAATGGTATTGGCTTCTCTAATCACAATCAAGCCTACTTATGTAGAATTATGTAAATTAAAGATTTTGAGCACATTACTCTAACTTCCTAATCATCCATTCAACTACTCTCGTGATGAACTTCAAACCCTTAGTTGGTTTATTCAAACCCGTTAAAACCCAACTCCCGTTGCGATAAAAACAATGGATTAATAACAATACTAATTTCTCTAATCTAGTATTGGCATGAGCACAATCAATTAAGCATATCAATTGCAATTATCATTAGAGAATTTAAAGAATTAAATCATGCATTAATCATATTCAGGTTCCACTAGATCTTGGAATAAAGAAACTACTTACACATAGTAATGAAAACAATAACAAGAATAAAAAAATCAAAGGAATTAAAGAGAATAAGAAAATACCGAATATTGAATTACTAAAGATAAACGAAAAATCTTGAGTGCATAATCTTGAATTACAATGAAAATAAAGTCTAGAGAGAAAACTAGGGTTCTAAGATGATAGATAACGAAATAATAATGCTAAAGAGTATTTATAATAAAGTTAAAAGACAGGATAAAATAAGGAAAGAAATCGGATGAAAATCGATCAAATTCGTCCAGGCATGGGCGTGCCACACAGAACATGCCCGTGCCTAAAGTCCGAAACAAATTTTCTTCAAATTCCAGCGAGACATGGGCGTGTCTAATTCTGACATAGGCATGTCTAGAGGTGGCCAGTGGGCCGGGTTGGACCCAGCCCACCCTAACTCGCACGGCTGGTGGGTCACGTGGGTCCGACCCGGTTTCAATCCGGCACAGCCCGGCACAGCTCGGATTTAATCCGGGTTGTGTCGTGGGTCCAAAATTTTCGACACAACCCATTTCAACCCAACTCAGTTTAACCCGTTTGATTCGACCCAAATCGCACAACCCGTTTTGACTCATTTAATTCGACACACCTAGCCCGTGAACCCACCTAACCCGACCCACCTGGCACAACCCAGCCCGCACGGCCCACCCGCACGAATGACCCACCCAACCCGCACGAGCCAACCCACCTAACCCGCACGCATGACCCACCCAACCCGCACGCATGACCCACCCAACCCGCACGGCCGGCACAACCCGCACGGCCCGCACAACCCGCACGGCCCGCACAGCCCGCACAATTCGCACGACCCGCACGGCCTAACATCCATTTTAAAAAAAAAACGGCTAGTTTTTTGTATCTAACGGCTAGTTTTTTGTATCTAACGGCTAGTTTTTTAAGTGTATGATCATCCATTCTATTTTTCCTATAAATACCAATTCCATTTCACTCAAATTTCCACACAAATTCAAGCTTTTGATAGTGCAACTCATATTTTCTCTTATATTTATGAGCCTAACGTTCATTTAGTCATAATTGAGTGTGTTAAAGTTGTTCACACCATCGAAGAGCATATGAAGATTGATGGACTTCGTCCCGTTCTTGATAGCATGAAACGTAAGTGGCATACTTATTTTAGTGAATTTCCAATCATTTATGGAATTGCTGCTATTCTTGACCCCGGTGTCAAAGCTGAAGGTTTGGAAAATCTTTTAGAATTTTATTATACAAGTTTAAGTATCGATTATGATGTTAGTGAATATATTAACAAATGCAAATCTGTTTTGGGAGACCTTTATGATCATTATGCATCTATTTATGGTTTTGATTTGGCAACACCAACTACTACTAGCACTTCCGATTCTAGATTTGGTTTTCTTGATAAAGTTATGAAAAAAAACACAAAGCATCTACATCATTCTCATCATCATCTTCTTCAACACTTGCTATTAATGATTATTTGTCATATCAACATGAGACCAACAACAACTTTCAAATTATAAAATGGTGTCAAGAACATAAAAAAAGTTTTCCTATATTGGCGAGAATTGCAAAAGATATACTTGCAGTTCCCGCTTCATCTGTTGCTTCCGAGTCTGCTTTTAGTGCAGGTAGAAGAGTGTTAGATGAAAAAAGATCTCGCTTAACTCCGGAAAGCATTCAAATTTGTGTTTGTAAGAAAGATTGGGATCAAGCTGAAAGAAGAACTCAAGGTTTAAAGGAAGACGAAGACGATGAAGATGATCCTGTGATGATATTGGAGTCGTCAACGGATGATGCAGCTTCCGGGGATGATGATGCAACAAACATGGGTGGCTAGAAAAGTCTAAATCAGGTACCCTAAGAACTACGTGGGCTTTGATTCTTTCGGGATACGTAGGCAACTTATTTTTCGAAAATTACAATTTAATTGCAAAATTAAATTTAGTTTTCTAAAGATAGGTCCAAGCCCCCCCCCCAAATTTCAAAAGAAGTACAATATAAGAACTACGCTGGCTTTGATTCCTTATTTTATAATATAAGGATACGTAGGCATCTTAATTAAGAGCAAGCCATCAAATTGTTAATTTTGTAAAAATTAAAACACCACACAACCCACCCGACCCTAACCCACGAACCCACCCGACCCTAACCCACCTAACCCACAAACCCACCCGACCCTAACCCACTAACCCACCCGACCCTAACCCACCTAACCCACAAACCCACCCGACCCTAACCCACTAACCCACCCTTCGACCCACCCTAACTCACTAACCCACCTTGACCCGTCTAACCCACGAACCTAGCTCGACCCACCCATGACCCGTCTAACCCACAAACCCAGCTCGACCCACCCACGATCCGTCTAACCCACAAACCCAGCTCGACCCACCCACGACTCGTCTAACCCACGAACCTAACCCTGGTGTGTCCAACTTCTCCGACCCAACCCACGACCCGGCCCACCCTACCCTACGTGTGTCGTGCCGTGTGTCATGAAACCCCAACCCGCGACCCACCTAACCCTAACCCAGCTCGCACGACTCGCACGGTGGACACCTCTAGGCATGTCTCGTTGGAATGATACCCACAGCAGCTACATCACTCGTAAAGACACGGGCGTGTCACATCTTGGAATGGGCGTGTCTCGCTGGGCTAACTCTACTCGACGAGGCATGAGCATGCCTCAAATAGACATAGACATGTCTCAAATAAAACTTCAAATTCAACTTTCTGCCTCTTCAAAACACAATGACATGCACATACCCTGTGTGACATGGGCGTGTGTGGCTGGGTTTGGCTTCTTTTCGCTTCAACATCAAACATTAGCCTTTAAAATGAATTGCAAGCTATGATCAAGATCCGTAACTTTGTAAATCCCTTGAATAGCCTCGTTAAATTCTGAAATACATCAAAAACAACAAAACTACCCATAAAAACATCTAAGGACCACAACCAAACCAAATCAAGCCAAAATAATCTATGAACGACTAATCTAAACTCTAAAACTTCCTAAAAAGACCCTAAAAATATGAACAAGACATGACTTATCAAAATCCCCCAAGCTAGACCAATGCTTGTCCTCAAGCATTGAACCATGAAACAAAAGAAGAGTAAGATAGATTCTCAAATGAAAATACATGTGCCATTAACCAAAAACCGAATGAAAACTAAGAACCAATGTTCACAAAACCACCATAAACCTCATATAATTGGAATTGACAACCTATCTTACCACACATCTCCCCTATCCAACTCAAAGAAACATGAATAGCTCCTCACTTTAGTTGT